GTCCTCCTAACACCCACATTCAGGGGAGCCTGGTTCAGTCCTATGCTGGTTTCCCCTTGGTTAGGTCATTGAGTGGGTGCTTCTTAAGAGACTTGAGCACCCAAGTGGGTGGTGCTGGGCAGGAAACCAAGGCCTCACTGAACTATACCCTCTTTTCCAGTATTGATTATAGGAATGACTCAGAATTGGAGATTAACTAGAATTTTCAAATCTGAGAGAGGGTTTTGTTTTTCTTTTATGTTTTAATGCAATCTATTGTGCTTTGTTTTTGCTTGTATTGTTCATTGTGTGCTCACTGTTTTATAGCCACTAAAGGAATGAAGGAATAGTAATCCTACATCTTTATTATGCAAATGAATGTAGCTTGCAACTCTGAATGCTCCTGTTTAATGTTCCTGGCCACCTCACGTTTAATACAACACACTAGACCCAGCCTTCCTATGTTGGATTCTACAACAAAGTCTAATTCTGTTAAGAGAAAAAAAAAAAATGGTGTTCTGGTTAGTGTAACTATTTCTGTGATGAACACTTTCATGACCAAAGCACCTTAAGGAGGAAGGCTTTACTTGTTGCACACCCTGTACCTCAGGCTGGTCGCACAGCAGTTGTGCTGCAGCCTTCCAAGTGTTAATTAAGATTACATGTGTGCATTATCACATCTGACTATTTTTACACTAGAAAAAAAAAATCCTGCACTGACTCTAAAGAATATGCACTACTGTTGAGTGCTTTGTTTGGGTTTGTCTTTAAGATTTATTTATTTTTATGTGCATTGGTGTTTTGCCTATGTGTTTGTCTGTGTGAGAGTGTCAGGTCCCCTGGAACTGAGATTACAGACAGTTGTGAGCTGCCACGTGGGTACTGGAAAGTGAACTTGGTTCCTCTGGAAGAGCAGTCATTGCTTTTAACCCCTGAGCCATCTCTCTACCCCTTAATAAACTTTTTTTTTTCAAGACAGTTTTTTTCTGTGTAACAGCCCTGCCTGTCCTGGAACTTGCTCTATAGACCAGGCTAGCCTCGACCTCACAGAGATCTGCCTGCCTCTGCCTCCCGAGTACTGGGATTAAAGACTAGTGCTACTACTACCCTGCCTGTTAAGTATTTTAAGCCTACCTTTTAAAACTTTACTTATTACTTTATGGTGCTCAGGTTAGAACTTGGTGCCTTAGTGTGGTGTAAGATAAATTCTCTACCACTGAGCTTCACCCCCAGGTCTTTTTTGGTCATTTCCTGGCACCCCTCTCTCCCCTCAGACAAAGATGGTAAGCCCTTCTGCTAATATGCATTTCTCTCAATATTGATGCAGAGGGCTACATTATACACACCTGCTCTTACTTTTTCCCAGAAAATAAGCAGTTTCCCAGTTAACACAGAAGCATCTCATTGTTGGCAAAGTACCAGTTAAAATACTTTTTTGCTAGGGAAGGGCTGTGTGGAGTGAACTGGGGCTGTATTTGATCTATACCATAGAGCTAATGTCTTTCCTTTTCCTACAAACAAAAAATGCCACTTGCAAAGAGGCTTGTGTCTTGGGAGTTCCATCACTTGCCATCCACTTTACTCTTACTGCTAGGCATCTGCATAGCAGCAGCAGTATGCTGTGGCTGGTGGCCTGTGTGTCTGTGTTCACACTCCTTCCAGCTCCATGGATAAGAGCAGGTGGGGTGCTCACTCCAAGACTTTGGGTACTTCTTTACTCCTAGACAGTGAAGGCTAACAATCATACACCTCGCCCCTACACCTTTTGTCATCTGTGAGCTGACACCCATGTCTTCTGTTTGTTCCCCCCCCCCCACATCCATACTCCATAGGCCTCAGAATGAGTGTATTGGGTGTGCCAATAAGCTTAGAAACATGCAGCCATGTGACTACCAACTCCAGCTTGCTGAGAAAATCACAGTGGGAAATAATCCGCTCTGTGCTAATATCTATTGAGTCTAATTCATGTCCCCAAAGGGCTTTGTGCCCTACTTTCATAGCTCATACTACTACCCCCACCTTACCTTCTTTCATCCTAATCTTGCCTAAAAAATTAAAACTCAGTTCAGCCTGTCCCCCGTGTCGTCCATCCCCCCCCCACTCCCCATGCCCCAAGGGTAGGCTCTGATGCATCCAGCCTTCCATTTCTACCAGAGCATCACCAACAAACTCTTTACATCTTGCCTCATCTTTTTATACTAGACATCTTTTTATACTAGGTCTGGCTGTCCTGGAACTTAATCTGTAGACTAGGCTGCCCTCAAACTCAGAGATCCATCTGTAACTGCCTCCAAACTGGGTGGGTGTGCCACCACCCAACTCAAAACATGAGTCTTATTCATCTTTTCAAAGTGACAGTAAATGTATACTAACATTTGAAATATGTGATTCCACTGGCAAAGTGCTTATCTAGCATGCACAAAAACCTGGGCTTGATCCCTAGTATCACCAAGCATGGTGTAAATGTCTTTAATCCCAGAAGGTGAAAGGCAGTGGGAGGGAAGATCGTCCTTGCCTACATAGCAAGTCAGAGGCCAGCCTAGAATACATGAGACCTTGTCCCGGGAAAGGAAAAAACAAAAACCTAGGCCTTGGAGTATAGTTTAATAGTAGAATCCATGCTTAGCATATACAAGGCTCTGTGCATTCCCCAGTACAAATAAACATTTTTTAAAAAGAATGAGATACATATTTAAAATTCTATAATTTATATAACACAGCAGAAGTATATGTAAGCATGCTATTGCTCTTCCATGCAACATGGGTTTTGTCCTTGAGCAGGTCTGGAGCAAACAATGAGGGTGACATTTGGCAGTCAGTAAGCCTTCTTTTGATGAACCCTGGTGAGTGAGTGAGGTCCCAACCTCCTTCATTGCCTTCCTCATCCTTCCAAGTGTTTTATGTATTGTCTCCCTTGTGTTTTTCCATGACCTCTAACCTGCTCTTTAACTCCTCTCCAGTTCATCTCTACCATGTCTCTCATAGCAATTTATTGTCCAGGCTGGCCTCAGTCACTATGTAGCTGAGAGTGACTTTGACCTTTTGATCCTCTTGCCTCTGCCTCCCAAATGCTGGGTTATAAGCATGTGCCACCATGCCTGTCTCTTACCTGGCCTTTCTTTCTTCCTTTCTTCCTTTCTTTGTTTCTCTCTTCCTTCATTTATTTCTTTCTTCCTTTCTTTCTTTCTTTCATTTTTACATTTATTGAGTGTGTGTCTGCGTGTGGAGGATCAGGAGACAACTTTCAGGAGTTGGTTCTCTTCTGCTATGTGACCCAGGAATTGAATTCAGGTCATCAGGCAAGGTGTCGGGTGCCTTTACTTGCTGAGTCATCTTGCTGGCCCTTACCACAGCATCTTTTTAAAAATTTATTTTTACTTATATATGAGTGTATACATCTGTGTTGTGTATATGTATTGGTGCTTCAAACTCCAGAAGAGGGCATTGGATCTCCAGGAGCTAGAGTTACAGGTAGTTATGAACCACCCTGTATGAGTTCTGGGAACCAAACTTGAATCCTCTAGGAGAGCAGCAAGTGCCAAGTGTAGTGGTATACAATTGTAAGCCCAGCATTGGAGAAGTGGAGATGGGATTACTACAGCTTTCTTGCTAGCTCAGGAATCTGAATTAGGAATGTCAGGTTCATTAAGAGACTCTGTCAAAAAGAATATGGTGAGTGATTGAGAAGGATACTTAATGTCAACCTCTGTCCTACACACATACACACACACACACACACACACACACACACACACACACACACACACGGGCAGGTGTCTAGGTTTAGGTGATACATATCTGTAATCTCAGCATCAAGAATCTGAGCTATGAGGATTGTTTTTAGTTTGAGGCCAGCCTGAGCTATAATAAGTTGCTTCAAATAAAACTAAATAGGCCTAATGGTGTGGCTTAGTGTTAGAACACTTGCCTAGCATACATAAGGCCCTAGGTTTGATTCACAGCACTAAAATGAAATAAAAATAGAATGTTAGAATGATAGTCTTATATTTGGGCCAGAAGATAGCTCAGTGGGAGTTTGATGCCCAAAGCTTACATGGGAGAAGCAGAGAATTGACTCCTGCAAACTGTCCTCTGACCTCCATGTACACCATGGCATGTTCACACGAACACACTGAGTAAATACATGGAAAAAAAAAATTTTTTTTTAAAGTGAATCTAATCAAAGTACCGTCCTACCCAGTGCAGACCACCCTGCCTTGCCACAGGCCTGCTGGCTCCTCATAGCACCTCCACCACTCCTGCCTCCTCTGCCCTACAAAACCTCAGTCTTCAATTTGCAAGGACTGTTCTCCCTGCAGATACACCCAACTTTGTCCCTGCTTGCTCCTTCATTGGCTGAAATCAAGCTCTTGAAGGTCATTCTTCATCTTTATTAACATAGCACCCTGTTTCACCAGTTTCAGAGCTTATCAGCATTGTGTTTTAGTTCATTATATGTGACTCTTTCCACTTGACTTGGAGCTTCTGAAGGCAGCTAGTAGGTAGAAGAATAGGATAATAGGTCCCAAGTATAGGTCAGCGGGAGAGCATGTGCTTAGTGTATTCATACATCTGCGTTCATTCAGTCCCCAGCACCAAGTGAATGTGCATTGCCTTTTTAAGACACATAGCATTTAGTTTGGCTCCATTCTTTTCTGAAGATTTGCGCCTTAATGAAGAACTAGGTAACATCCTTCCTTGCTTTACTAAAGGTTTGCTGTAGATGACACAGAGAAGTTAAGACAGAGTTGATTTAATCCCAGAGGGAAATAAGAACAGACACAAACATGTGCCAGTGTTTTTATTTGCTTTCTGGTAAAGCAAAATTGCTCCTGAACTTCTTGAACACAGTGCATACTTGTCACAACCAGAGGGCTGATATGGAGGAGAGCTGAGTTTTTGGAAGGTCCTCCAGGTCCTCTAACAGTTTTCTCCTGGTTTGTGTGAATTCTGAGTTTACTCAGGTTGAGGGGTTCATTCATTCTTGTCCCAAATGGCTAAACCTCTCCTTTTCTCCACAGGGAAACAACTGGAAGGCATCTGGTAAGCAGATGGAGACCCTTCATATTAACTGCTGGTGAACCAGGGCAGCTCACTATGTGATTTAGTGTCTCTGCAACTCCCAGCTCAAAGCCTGGCTCTTGTTCATTCCCATATCCTTTTGTTTTTTCCTTAAGTTTTTTTTTTTAATGTATGGGTGTATGCATGTCTATGTATTATGTATGTGTTTGCTTCCCAGGAGGCCAAAAGAGAGCCTCAGATTCTATGACACTCAAGTTATAGACAGTTGTGAGCCACGATGTGGGTGCTGGGAATAGAACCTGAATCCTCTGGAAGAATAGGCAGTGCTCTTAACTGCTGAGCCATCTTTCCAGCCTCCGGTTTCCCATATCCTAGACAGCAGTTCTCCATAGAGCTGATTTTATCCCTCCACCGCACAAGATACTGGCTATGTCTAGAGACTTTTTTTTTTTTTTTTTTTTTTTTTTTTGGTCAAAACTGGAGGAGGGGTGCTACTGTCAGCTCCTTCTTAATGCTTCCCACAATAGAGTCATCCACCCCAGTGTCAGTGCCCGAAGGGAGGACACCTAATCTGGGGTGCTCTCTGCACTCTTTGCCCACAAGTTCCACCCACTGCAAGTTGAAAATGTTCCAGAAAAGGAGGATACTACTGTGCTATCCATTCTCCTGTAAGCAGCATCAAAGTCCTGAATGTTAGCTGGGAGTGGTGGCATACTCCTTTAACCCGTACCCAAGAGGCAGAGGCAATGGATCTCTGAGATAGAGGCCAGTCTTGTCTATGTGGGGAACTCCAGGCCCGCCAAGTACATAGTGAGACCCTGTCTTAAAAAAAGAAAAGAAGAAAGAAAAAGGAAAGTGTTAAATGTCCTGAAAAGTAAAAATGCTTGTCCTGAACATACAGACACTTTTATCATTATTCCCTTAGTAGAGTGTGATGACTGTGTGGCATTTACATCATGTACAATCCTATGTGTCATCTGTAAATAGTTCAAAGTGTACTCAAGGGTGTATATAAGTTCTGCGTATGTCCTATTCCATTTTAGACAGGGGACTTGATCATCTGTGAATTTGGGGGGGGGGGTGAGGACAGTTCCAGTTCAATCATCCCAGATTTAGAGGGGCCCTGAATTGTCTTACTCATGTCTTCATCTGGCTAATATAATAAAATTGGCTACCATGGTGACATCTTTGGGCAGAAATTACTCTGACTACAGTATGGTACTTGCTTTTTCTTGGAGAAGTTATGAAGTTTCTTGGCTCACTGTCCCTCTCTGTGGCAGGCACACCTCTATAGTTGTACACAAGGATGAGTTCTTCTTCGGCAGTGGCGGTATTTCCAGCTGTCCCCCGGTGAGTGTCATCCCCTGACTGCAGATTTCTGGGGGGTTCCTATAGCCTGAGAAATTTGGCTTCTACCATGTACCTCTGGCCTGTGATAGTTCCTTATATTGGCACATAAGCCAGACATGGTAGTGTACTACACACGCCTTTATTCTGAGTTCAGGGCCAGTCTTATCTACAGAGAGTTTCAGAACAGCCAGAGCTACAGAAACAGTTTCTCAAAAAAAGACAAACTGAGCAGTTTTATAATCCTCACACTTGTGAGTAGAGGCAGGAGGATCAGGAGTTCAAGTCTTTCTTGGCTAGCCTGAGTTACATGAGACCCTATCTCAAAAAGGCAGGAGGATCAGGAGTTCAAGTCTTTCTTGGCTAGCCTGAGTTACATGAGACCCTATCTCAAAAAGGCAGGAGGATCAGGAGTTCAAGTCTTTCTTGGCTAGCCTGAGTTACATGAGACCCTATCTCAAAAAGTCACTCCTAACAAGGACTAGTGTGATGCTTAGAAATGCCCAACAGGTCAGGGTGCTTGTCACCAAGCCTGAAAAAAACTGAGTTCACACACAGAAGAAGTAGAAAACCATCCCATAATTCATCTCTGTGATAGATGGTGTAATAAAATGGGGTTTCGGGGGGAAAGATTATTCAACAATCAAGAACAGTGCTCTGCCAGAGAACCTAGGTTTGATTCCCAGCACCCACATGGCAGCTAACATCCATCTGTAACTCTAGTTCCAGAGAATCCAATGCACTCTTCAGGTACTACATGCAGGTAGTACACAGACATACATGCTAGCAAAACACCCATAGAAACATATTTTAAATTAAAAATAGATTTTAAAAAGTAGAGTTGATGAGATGGTTAGCAGATAAGTGTCTTGCTACCCACCAATTCTGATGGCCTGAATTTGTTCCCTGCCACCCATATCACAGTGACTCCTGCAAGTTGTTCTCTGACCAGTTTATGTACATCATATACACAAGTAGATAAATAAATGTTCAAAAACAATGTTAAACCAAACAAAAAGAATAAAGGCTTTAAGATGCTTTCAGTAGTTGGAGGTGTGTCTCAGTGAACCTCCCTCAGCATGGGAGGTGGGGGGAGAAGGAGAGGATAGAGACAGGAAGAAGAATCCTCATCTAGTAACACCCTTTCAGTTAACCCAGTCAGCCTGGTCCTGTGAGTCCCTTTTCTCATATAATCTTTCTGATTCCAATACCCATGTCCTTTTCAGAATATTTTTCTCAGAACCATCTCAAGATTGTCATGGGATATACTCAAGCAAAGACCAGCCATCCATTTTGATATCATAAGTAGGAAGTCATTCTTGATTTTTCACTGACTACCCAACCTATAACAAATCTTTCCTTAAGCCTGACCACTTCTTTGTGTGTTTGCTTTTTGGGGTAAAAGGGTCTCTAGTAGCTAAGTATCTTCAGTTTGAGCCTCTTGATACTTATCTTTACCTCCCAAGTTCTAAGATCACATGCATGCTTGCTCCCAGAAAGTCTGCTCAGTTCTACCTTGTCAGTGTGTCTTAAGTCAGTCTACATCTCTCTTATCTCCCTATCCCTCCAGAGCTTTTCACTGCTTCCTGTGTAGGCTAGACCTATGAAGCTAACCTGACCTCCCTCTGTCCTCCATTTAGGAGACAGAGGTTTTGTTTCTTATTATTTATTTATTTATAATATACACATACACAGTGTTCATGTATGCCTGCATGACAGAAGAGGGCACCAGATCTCATTATAGAAGGTTGTGAGCCACCATGTGGTTGCTGGGAATTGAACTCAGGGCCTCTGGAAGTACTCTTAACCTCTGAGCCATCTCTCCAGCCTCAGAATTTTTTTCTAAAGACTGAATCTCTGAGATCTTCCTGTCTCTGCCTCCCAGTTAAAGACATGCACAACCACGCTTGCATCAGACTCACCATGAAGCCATAGCAGGCCTCTTTGTCACACTAGTCCTGGGATTATGTAACCCTGACTGTCCTGGAACTCAAAAAAGATCCTCCTGCCTTTGCCTTCTGGGTGCTGGGGTTTTTTAAGATGTGTGCTGCTGTGCCCTACATGGTGAGTTTTGAGGTGCTGGGATTTTTTTTTTTTTCTTTTCTTTTTTGGTTTGTTTGTTTGTTTTTCAAGACAGGGTTTCTCTGTGGTTTTGGAGGCTGTCCTGGAACTAGCTCTTTTAGACCAGGCTGGTCTCGAACTCACAGAGATCCGCCTGCCTCTGCCTCCCAAGTGCTGGGATGGAAGGCATGCGCCACCACCACCACCCAGCAGGAATTTCATTTTTCAAATATTCCCCTGCTGTAGCCAGAAGCCTCAGCAGGGTCTCCCACAGACCTTGTCTCTGGATCCCTCTCTAGCCATCCTCTTTTCTGGTTTTATCTTCCCCGCCTCTGCCGTCTTCCAGCTTGGGCATTTAAACCTATACTGCAATTTCAGTATAGCTCCCTAATCCTTCACCTGGATGTGCCTCTCCATTCTTCAGGTCTGCGCTGGGTATTCATTTTCTCCAGCAAATCTCAGCTTGTCCTTCCTTGACACAGGAACTAAGGAATGGCATTGTACACTTTCTCAGTATGGCCCTTATTTCAGCTTCTTATGATCCACTGGAGAATTTTTTACCTGCCTTCCCTAATAAACTTTAAGTTCCACAAGGACAGAAATCTCATGTTTGTATACATTGTACTGCCAGTTTCTAGCATTAGATGTAGCATGTAAGTTCTCAGTATATAATTGTCATATGGATGAACAATAGGAATTGCAATAGTGACCTCTTAGTCTCAACATTAAGTAATTTTCCTCTGGCGGCCATAGCTACTGATCTTGCTCCCCAATGCCTAAAACAATGTCAGCCTCAAGGGAAGTGCTCTGGGGCAGTCAGTCAATGGCTTTTATAGGCAAACTCCTAGGAGTTTTGTGCTTTCTCAAGTCTACCTTGATGTCCTATTACATAACCCTTTGGCTGCTGTTCCCACTCATTAGTCTCCTATGGCAACCCAGCTGTCAGGTTCTGTCCTTGTGGTCATCTACTGGAAACAAAAGGAGACCACAGGTTCCAGCTTTCTTTCTTTTTGTTATTGTTTGTATTTTTTGAGACAGGGTCTCTATGTAGTCCTGGGTGTCCAGGAACTCAATGTGTAGACTGTGCTGGCCTCAAACTCAGAGATCTGCCTGACTCTGCCCTTAGAGTACTGGGATTAAAAGTATATGCCATCATACTCAGATTTTTGTCTTTTTAACAACAGAATGAATAGACAGTGTAGAGCCAGTCTCTACACAGTGCACAGGAATCGGTTTCCAGGCCCCACAAGCAACCAGAAGCCCAACTCTAAACTCTATAACCTTAACACTAACAGAAAATAGCCCTCTTCCTATGATAAGAGTGTCCCAGCAGTTAAAAATGAAGCTGTTGGAACAGAGTTTTGTAGTTCTGTGTGGAAAGTCACAATTTTAAAAGGAGGGGGTGGCTGGAGAGATGACTCAAGAGGTTAAGAGCATTGACTGCTCTTCCAGTAGTTCTGAGTTCAATTCCCAGCAACCACATGGAGGCTCACAAGGACACAGACGCAGGTGAGTTGGAAGCCAGCCAGAGTTACATAATAACTTAACAGATGGGGAAGATAGCCTGGAGTTCAATAAGATCCATTCTTAAAAGTTAACAGAGGGCATTGAGGGTCTCCGTGCTAGAGTACTTGTCTAGCATGCATAAGGTCCTGTTTTTGATGTCCAGAACAGCCAAATGAAAACAAAAGTGATAGAGATGGTGGCTTAGTGACTTTCTTGGGTTGACTCTTTCAGGGAGGGACATTGCTTGGGCCCCCAGACACTGTGGTTGATGTGGGGAGCACAGAAGTCACAGAAGAAATCTTTCTGGAATACCTGTCCTCCCTGGGGGAGTCTCTGTTCCGGTGAGTAAGGATAGTGGTGGCCACTTGTATGCTCCACTACTAGACAGAGTCTGGGAGCCATGCCTGACACTCAGCCCTGGCCTCCTCGCTCTTTACTGCATGGAGAGAAGCAGTTACTGTGCTACAGAAGGAGCCCAGCCTCCCCTTTCCTTCCTTTTCTTTCTTTTCTTCCTTTTTAATGTACATTGGTGTTTTTGCAAAGGGTGTCTGGCCCCCTGGAACTGTAATTTACAGACAGCTGTGAGCTCCCACCTGGGTGCTGGGAATTGAACCCAGGTCCTCTAGAAGACCAGTCAATATTCCCTACCTCTGAGCCATCTCTCCAGCCCAAGCCCAGTTTCTTTAACAGATGACATACATCCCAGCACACTTTCTGCTGCGGTCTAGAAGAAAGGGAGGCCACTCATTGCTTCTGATTAGAACCAGTGAATGCTGTTGTCCACATCCTCTGGCCAAGTGCTTTTCCTAAATATTGAAAGGGGGATTTGTAGGAGAAAGGGAATGAAATGCCAACTTTAGTCAAGATGATGATGTAGCTCAGTTGGTAGAGTGCTTTTCTATTGTGCACAAAACCTGGTTCAATCCCCCACACCATAGAAAACTAAACTAGTGTATTGGTACATGCTTATAATTCCTACACTCAGGAAGTGGAGGCAGGAACAGAAGTTTGAGTTCATCCCTAGATATATATGGAGTAAAAGGAAGCTACCTGAGCTATAGAGACTCTGTTTCAAAAGAAAAAAAACAAAAAACAAAAAACTTAGGCAGTGGTTGCACATGCTTTTTCTATGAGATTAAAGCCAGCCTGGACTACAGAGTGAGTTGCAGGACAGCCAGAGCTACACAGAAAAACCCTGTCTCAGGGGGAAAAAAACGAGTCAAAGTCTGGTAAGAGGACTCATCAGGCAAGGCATTTGCCATATGAGCACAACAGCCTGAGTTTGATCCCTGAAGCCCATACTGTGGGAGGAGAGAGCCTGCTCTCACATGCTGTTCTCTGACTTCATTCATTTTCCTACACACCTACACACAGATTAAATGTTTTAAAAAAGGCCAGGCAGTAATGGCACACACCTTTGATCCCAGCACTTGGGAGGCAGAGGCAGGCAGATCTCAGAGTTCAAGGCCACCCTGGTCTACAAAGTGAGTTCCAGGACAGCAGGACAGCTAGGGCTACACAGAGAAGCCCTGTCTCAGGAAGGGGGGAAAAAAAATACAGAGGAAGGGCTAGAGAGATGGCTTAGAACATGGTTTTCAACCTGTAGGTTGCAATTCCTTTGGGAGTCCCATATCAGATATTTACATTAAGATTCGTGGGCTAAGGAGATGACTCAGAAGATATGAACACTGGCTCTTCTTTCAGAGGTCCTGAGTTCAATTCCCAGCAACCACGTGGTGGCTCACAATCATCTATCATGAGAGATCAGTGCCTTTTTCTGGTACACAAGCATACATGCAGGCAGATCATTGTATATATAATAAATAAATCTTTAAAAAAAATTTCATCAGTCGGTGGCAGTATACACCTTTAGTCCCAGTACTTGGGAGGCAGAGGCAGGTGGATCTCTGTGAGTTCAAGACCAACCTGGTCTACAAAGTGAGTTCCAAGACAACTAGAGCTACATAGAGAAACCCTGTCTCAAAAAAACAAGCAAACAAAAACAGATTTATAACGAAAGCAAAATTACAGTTATGAAGTAGCAATGAAATAATTCCATGGTTGGGGGTTATCATGACATGAGGATCATAGCATTGGAAAGGTTGAGAACTACTGGCTTAGAGGATAAGCCTGAGTTCCATTCCCAGTACCCACATGAAGGCACACAATGAACTGTAACTAGTAACAGAATGTCTGACCCCCCTTTGCGGATTTTCACAGGCAGTAGGCACACACATGGTACACATACATTCATACAACACTCATACATACAATAAGGAAATCTTTTCTAAAATAATCTTTAGTTTCATTAAGGGTTCACCTCTATTCTTTGTCCTGTTTTGAATGTAAAAATTCTGGAACTATAGAAAGCATACATTTTTGGTTCATCTTTTCCTTGTAAATCACTTGGAGATTCAGATTTTCAGATAGCAGTCCTTCTGGAATATCTACGAGGACTGGCTATAGTCTTCACATAAGGCTTTGCCCACCTTCCCACTCCATAGTGACAGTAACTACACAAAGCTGCTGGCTTTCTCATCTGCTCTCCAAACCTTTCTTCTTGTACAGAGGAGAAGCCTACAACCTCTTTGAACACAACTGTAACACCTTTAGCAATGAAGTGGCACAGTTCCTGACTGGGCGGAAGATCCCTTCTTACATCACTGACCTGCCCTCTGAAGTTCTCTCAACGTAAGTGTGACCACTGTTTCTGCCCCCTGACAACTTTGAAAATCCCCATTGGAGGTAGTCAGGAGGATCAGGGTAGCCTCTGCTACACAGTGAGCTTCCTGAGATGAGCCTGAGCTATGTAAGACCATATCTCATAAAGAAAAGAGACAGGAAAACCTCATACTTAGTGCCCCTCCTCTATGGCAACAGAGTTCTTCTAGCCAGTAGGACCTGTTTCGTGGCAGGTTCCACCACAGAGGGCTGGCATTGTTCCTATCCACCAGTGTGCAATAGGCCTCCTTGGAGCTTGACTTAAGTGTCACCACAGAACTTAGAAATCCACTTGATACTAGCTTGGATGTTTACATAAAATCCTGGTATCTCATACACAAAGCCATTTCCCAGAAATGCTTATCTAGAATGTGGACTTCAGTAGATAGCAGAATCCTGAGTAACAGGACAACCCAGTTCATAACTGTTATCTTTGTTAACCACACCCTGAGCTCTTTGACACCCTCAGAAGATAAGTTCTGCTTGTCCTTGAACTTAGAGTGTACAGAAAGCCCTCAGCAGAGGTTTCCTCTGCCCCCTGATGGGGTCCCAGCTTTGTAAAGAGCCTATGGACCATCACTCAACTGTCATCCCTGAAAGGACACAAACTTCCCAAAGGCATATCATATCACCCCCTTTTCTCATTGTACCAAGCTGCCACTGCCCACTCTAGGAGAGTGCCCATTTGTTGCCTCTGACTCCATTTTTCCTGAACTGGAGTCCTGACTAACAGGGATCCCCGGCAGATAAACTCAGTTTTTAAAAAAGAAGCCAGCTGGACAGTGGTGGCACACACCTTTAATCCCAGCACTTGGGAGGCAAAGACAGGCAAGTCTCTGTGAGTTCAAGAACAGCTACCAGAGAGAGCCTGTCTTAAAACACAGGAAAAGGAAGAAAAAAAAAAAAAAAAAAAAAAAAAACCAAAACAAAACCTAGAAAACAAAGCCGCTAAGGAGCCCAGTCTCCCAGGCCTGGAACCAACTGCCTTCTCCTGATAGATTTGTGGAACCCAACTTCCCTGCCAAGAGAGATCTAGGTCATGAGACCCTGAGCATCCTTGAGTAGCCAAACATTTTTGCTGTTGCTATTTAATGGGTGGGGTGCTGGAGCTTGTCTGAACTTGGATCAGTTTACAGGTACTTTATTCTCTTGATCTTAGAGGTGATCTTCAAATGTGGTCGTATCAGCTAAACACAGTGGTATACACTTAACAGTCCTAGCATGTGAGACTGAGCCAAGAGGAGCACAATGAATTTGAGACCAGCTTCAGCTACATAGTGAGTTTGAGGCCAGGCTGAGCTACATATTCAGTCAGGAAAAGGGGGATTTGGTATGCAGCAATCTCTAAGGATGAAGCTTATGCCCGGAGTATGTCATGAGCCACTTTTTTATTTTTTGAAACAAGGCCTCACTATGTAGCCCCAATTAGCTTAGAACTGGCTGTATAGACTGTACTGGCCTCAGATGCACAGAGATCCATATGCCCCTGCCCCCAAGTGCTTTATTTAAGAGTACAGTGACTTTGAAAAGTCTCCAGACAACAATTTTACAGTGTTTCTCCAACTGAGATTTGTGTGTGTGTGTGTGTGTGTGGTTTGGTTGGTTGGTTGGTTGGTTTTGTTTTGTTTTGTTTGAGACAGGTTTTCTCTGTGTAGCTTTGGAGCCTGTCCTAGAACTCACTCAGTAGACCAGGCTGGCCTTGAACTCACAGAACTCTCTCTCTGCCTGCCTTTGCCTCCCAAGTGCTGGGATCAAAGGCGTGTACCACCACTGCCTGGCCCAGCTAAATTATTACAAGAACAATTCGGGTGCCCTTTAGAAAGTAACACCAACACCTGGCTACCTCACATGACTGTCCTATTCCCTGTGCTCCATAGCAGAGTTCCATTTCTAGAAGAATCTTAATTTTGGATACCCTCACTCCCAACATCATCCAATGTCATCATCCTAACTTCCTTTTCTTTTACCTTAGCTTCCCCCTTTTTTCCTCAACTTTACCTTTATTTTTATCTTCTTCAAAAGAATTGAAGATACAAGTAAACTGGTGGTTTTGGTACATGCCTGTAATCCCAGCCCTTGGGAGGTAGAGGCAGAAGGATCAGAAGTTCAAGGTCAACCTCAGCTATATATAAGATGTCTAAGGCCAGCCTAGTCTATATGAGACCTGTCTTAAACCCTACCCATTCAACTAAGGATACAAGTACATCAAGTCCAGAGAGCTCTGGTTCCCTATGGGTAGCCAACCTGTTCCCCCCACAGCTTAACAGGCCTGGCAGGTGTCAGTAACAAGATGACAGAGCCTACACAGAAGAGGGGAACTGGGACTGAAACCATAAAACAAAGCTCAGCGAGGTGGCGCACGCCTTTAATCCCAGCACTCAAGAGGCAGTGGCAGGTGTATCTCTGAGTTCAAGACCAATCTAATCTACAGAACAAGTTCCAGGACAGCCAGAGCTACATAGAAAAATCATGTCTTGAAAACCCCAAAACAAAGAATGGGGGAAAAACCCCATAAACCAAGCTATTTGGAAGATTATTAGTCAGCTTTCTGCTCCTGGAGCAGATACCGGAACTAGTCAGTTTATAAAGAGGAAAACTTTATGTTGGCATGCACAAACTCCCAGAGGTTTCCATCCTTAGTCACCTGATACTGTCCCTTTGAGCCTGTGATGAAGAAGTTTCTCAAGGTGGGGGCACATGTTAGAGCAGGAGCTGCTTACTTGTGGCCAGGAAGCAAAGAGGAAGAGAAGGGGCAGGGCGTGTCCCAGTGACCAGAAGACCTCTGTAGGCCCCACCTCTCACATGCTTCACAGGCTGAGAACCTAGTCTTTAACCCATGGACCACAGAGAACACTTCCCAAGCCAGAGAGCCCCCTTATGAAGACCAGTGTGGTAGTAAATCCTGATTACCAAGACCCACAATTGGCCAGGTAAGAGACTGGAGAATCCTACTCCCAAGGCTCAGGAGCCATTGCAGAAGAGGGGGCAGAAAGAGTGTAAGAGCCATGGATGCTTATGAGGAATTGGTGTCTTCTGGATACTGCAAGGCAGCTGCACTTAGGAACTCCCAGTGCTGGTGACAGCAGACCAAAACCTGCCGTGGAAAGGGGCGCTAGACCTGAAAATCCTCCCTTGCCCAAGGAGCTGTTGGCGATTTTAGCTGCTGGGAGAGTGGGTCAGTTTTCTTCAAGACAATATGTCTGTCATGCCACTATGGAAAGCCATATATCCAAGAATATTTGAACAGCACAGAATGGCCTTGGTGGGGAAAAAGACAGGCACACAAAGGTGGGCATGTAGGGAGGTAGGGTGATCTAGGAAGAATTTGGGAGGAGGAGTTCATAGGATCAAAACACATTGTATAAAATACTCAAAGAACTAAGAAAATGTATATACTTAAAAGGCTGGGAATGGTAGTACACACCTTTAACTCCTATACTTGGGAGGCAGGGGCAGGCAGATCTCTGTGAGTTTGAGGCCAGCCTGGTCTTATAGTGAGTTCCAGGACAGCTAGAACTATGTAGAGCAGCAGTTCTCAACTTGTGGGTCTCAACCTCTTTGGGGGGGTCCCATATCAGATATACTGTTCATCAAATATTTACATTATAATTCATAACAGTAGCAAAATTACAATCATGAGGTAACAATGAAATAAATGTATGGTTGGGGTCACCACAACGTGAGGAACTGTATTAAAGGGTCATAGCATTAGGAAGGTTGAGAACCACTCTCTACATTGTAGAGGCCCCTGTCTCAAAAGAAAAGAAAGGCAGTATGTAGTGCATGAGACTCTTAATCCCAGGGTCATGGGTTCAAGCCCCACTTTGAGCACCAAATGCCCTGGCCCACAGGGTCAGTCAACAGAGACCCTGAGGGAGGGAGTGAAAATGAGGGGACAAGAGACTTGAGAGATGGAGACAAGACAGTGTTCTGATCAAGTCTTGTTCAGTGAATATAACCACAGGGTTTAAGTAGTGGAGAAATGAGGGAATGGGCCAAAGGGAGGATGTGAGGGAGGCATGTCCTTCCAAGCAGGATGCAGGGGTTCTGCTATAGATAAGTTGCTATATGCAGCTGGGACTCTTTCAGGGTCAGGCTGTATCATGTTTAACAAGAGAGCAGTCATAAGGGAATGGAAATTTACCAGTATGTTAGTATCTAAGAGAGTTGTAGGAAAGATGACTGTTTAAGATGCTAACTTTGCTCTGGGGTTCCCCACAATGACCACTGTGCACGGTTCTGATTTGTGGGTGGGTTGCATTGCAGCTCTCCCAACTCGTGTCTGTTTCTCCACAGGCCCTTTGGACAAGCACTTCGGCCCTTCCTGGACTCCATCCAGATTCAGCCTCCTGGAGGGAACTCTGTGGGCAGACCCAATGGCCAAAGCTAACAGGACTGCACGGGACCGCCCGCCTCTCCAGGGCTTTTCCTTTTTAAACAAAACAAACCCTACCAGATTTCTATTTTATAATTTTACATCAGAGCTAACGGGGACGGCTTTTTAAATTTCCCAGGGAAGGAGCTTGTCAGGCTGCACGTAGGACAATGCTCCTAAGAAACAGAACAAATGCCACCCCTTCTAATAGTATTATACTAATTTATTAAGGCTGTCTTGTCTGTGAGTTCACTTTTGACGCTGTTGCCTGAGCGTCCTCTACACTGGAGAGAGAGGGGGCGCTTTTTAAACAGAAAGCAAGAGTCACAATCTGGGAGAATCCCGTCCTGGACCCTCTTTCCAAAGGATACCCACATTCCACCTAGGTTGCCGCACCTGTGGGACCTGGGTAAGGTTTTTTTTTTTTTTTTTTTTTTTTTTTCCAAGACAGGTTTTCTCTGTGTAGCCTGGCTATCCTGGAACTCACTCTGTAGACCAGGCTGGCCTTGAACTCATAGAGATCTGCCTGCCTGTGCCTCTCTGCCTCCCGAGTGCTGGGATTAAAGGTGTGCACCATCACCCAGCCTGGGTGAGTTTTTTACTGACCATAACGCTGGAGCAGTCACCCTATAGCAGCAAATGAGCCAAAGGATTTGGTGTACATGGAGCCAGCTGTAGGCTGACTGACTGACTCAACCTAAGTGAACTCTTTAGCCACAATTTTACCCCCACCCCCAAACAAGGCCACTGGTGGGAGCTGGAGCAGCCATAGCCTCAGGATCAAAGGACAGTGGCAGCAAGGATGAGGGCAGAGAAGACAGGATAAAGCCATTCATTCCTCCTACAACTAGATTCAGTGCCAGTCCTCTCTGCCTGCCTCTAAGCTGCTCTTCCTCAGCAATAATGTGACCTGTCACCATTAATGAAGGTCTAGGCTGCAGTGGCAGAGACCTGGGCCTTCTCTCTGCAAATAATGACATCAGTTTATTTATAGTTAGTAGAGCCAGCCACCCAAACCAGTATGAACTTGTCAGCTAGGTACCAAGGAGACATGATTGTTCCCTCCAGGAACGTATCTCTGATGTAGAGAGAATACCACAATGATGTAGATTAAAGGTGGCAAGAAAATTTAAGAGTTGTCTCCAGTAGAGATTTTCACATTGTCCTTCAAGTGTCTTGAACAGACATTGTCATTCTGACCTTAAGAGGTGTTGGACATTTTTCTAGTGATGTGCTGCTAGGTTTCATCAGCAGGAATCATCTAGAAGTCTATGATGTAGACTCTAGAATCTAGAAGGAACTTAAGTTTCCCTTTATTGGTATTAGCCTCCTACTAGCTAATTTGGGGACTGGATGTGGAGTAGGGGACTCAGAGCAAGCACCTGAGACTCAGCTCCACATCCGTGGGAGCCCCTGCCATGGTTCCCTACCACTTCTAAAACTTGAGCTCAACTGCTCCTTCTGGGGCGGCCGTTCCTCCCTGAAAGCTGCTGCTGGCTCATACTTGCCCATACCCACCTGTCTTTGCCAGTAGCCCTATCAGTTAGCATTATCAGGATCTGCCTCAAGCGCTGACCTGTTCTCTAACCAGGGCCAAGTCCAGCTGGGATGTCAGGTGATGTTTTGGAACTTGAAAGTTGGGATCAAATGAGTCTCAGTGGTTTGCAAGTGTGTATGACAATGACAAATTAGTGTGAAAACCAACAGAGATTATTTACTATTGGTCTGTTGACAGAATGGGGCCAGAAGGGTGAGTGTTTAAAGCTTGGCTTCTGGATAGGTAGAGATTGCTGGAAGCCAGCACTTTTTCATTTGCCTGGTCCCAGCTGCTATCATCTCTGCCTAGAGCTCTCCTGACACCTGACAGGTGCTGGGCTGATTTTCCCACATGACCAGATTCATCTGGTTTTTCTCCTCAAAGCAGTATCTCAGATGCCATGATACTCTGAGAAGTTTGTCTGAGAATTTTAGTTACTTGGTTGCTTGAATAGCCTCTTGTCATGTCCAGCAGCTATCCGTGTTGATGCCTGTGCCCATGGCTCGCAGGGAGATAGGAGGACTGGACAGCTTCTCAGACCTCTGCAGGAAGGCAAGCTCTTCCTCCCCTATGCAAATCCCATCGGCACCAGAATTGTAGGCCATGAACCTCATGTCCCGCCTGCACATATCTCAGGAGCATACTACTAATGACCAACTGACTCCTCCTGGGCATGTACAAGCCAGCAGAAAAGGACCTGAGTCATGTTGTTCATGTCATGTGACAGATACCCTGTAGAGTTCCATTGGTCAAGGGACAAGGGAAGTGGAGGCATGAGACCATAGTCCTTTCCTAGACAAAATGAAGCGTGTTTCTTTGAGATTTTTTTTTCATTACTTCCTTGGAGTCAAATTATGTCTAATATGGAGGTGTTTGCTAGTTTTCATTGGCATTTTTTCTAATGCAATAAACTCATTTATGCTGCTTTGGTATGTTATTTGAATCCCAGCATGAAGCAACCCCAGGTTTCCCCATCTGTCTCTGACAGACTTCCTTACAGAGTCCACGGAGTGCTGCCTTTACGTAGTTTTAGTCTCAGCACTCAGAGGCAGGTGAATCTCTTTGAGTTAGAGGCCAGCCTGGTCTATAGAGTGAGTTCCATCCAGGACAGGCTACAAAACTCAGAAACCCTGTCTCAAAAACACACACACAAGGGTGTGGCTTTCACTACTGGTATATAAAGATGGGGAAGGCCAAAAGAGAATGCAGTGAGCAGGGGCAGGAGGACTGCCATGAGGCCACTTTTGCCCAGCTTTAGCTACATAGATAGTCAGACCCTCCCAAAAAAGTGTATGTGTTCTGTCCCAGATTGGTTTGCAACTGGTAATAGAGTAGCTTCACATTCTAAGGACCTGACCATTAGGTGTTGTAAGAATTTTATCCCTGAAGGGAAACCACGCCGTGTCTAGCCCCCTCCTCAAGGTCCCAATGACAAACTGAAGTTCCATTCCACCAAAGGTCACCCTGGAAATTGAATCAGTTTATTGGGCCTGAGCCATACATGATGAGTTACAGAAGCGTGAGTAGCCCTAAGCAGCCACACTGGAAAGTCTGTATCCAGCACGCATGCTGTCTTCTCATCACTGCATAGATGGAGTTCTTCCCAGCCTGCAGACTGTAGCACCTCCTAGAGACCCCAGGGCAATGTGCAATTAAGGCAGAATTGCATACAACTAATTGGGAAGGGTGATTATTCTGGTAAGGATCTAATGGCCCCTCTATGAGGGAATGTAAACAGTCAAGTTTGGCTCCAAGGATAGTAGTGCTGCCTAATAAGGGGTATTTGATCTCTTGAATTATCAAGTGTTTGCTTCTGTTGTCATCTATGGTCCTGAACAAGTGTTGTAATTGGTGTTCAACTTTCTGGAAACTTCCCTCACACAGGTGTGCAGCCTGGCTGGCTGTATGCAAATCCAATAGGCCAGACCTGTGATAATGCTTTCCCAACAACAGATCAGGGGTGGGGATTGGCCCCAGTATCCAGGAGGAAACAGGGCAGAGAAACATCCAGGTGGCAAGTGGTAAGGTCATCTTTGAATCCAGGCCATATCTCACACATCATCACTGAGGTATGGAGTCTTTCCAGTGTGCTGACACACCAGCTTCATAAGAACATGGCAGAAATCTTTGAGATCCCTACTCAGATAACAGCCCAGGCTACCCACCTTGGGAGGGTAGTACTAAACAGGATGTGAAGAGCATTCTACCCATTGCTTGGCACAGATCACATGCTCAGGAAATTTCAGGTTACTAACACAAGCTTTAAAACAGTGTCATCTACACAGGCCAGTCCTCTGCTGAGGTGTTAGCCCCCTGACCTGCTTCTGGGGGCAGGGGAAACAGGTGTATACCCACCTTAGACTTTAAGACTCATGGCAAGTCAATCTGGGTTAAATTCATCTAACCTTAGTATCCCCATTGAACTCCAGACCCAAGACCCTTCACCCCCTACCCATTTCCCAAGGGTCACTGGACTCTATGCTTGGACACAGCAGCTAATAGGGAAGGCAAGGCCTGGTCCAGTCAGGAGTCAGACTCTGGAGAAAACTAGGCATAAACACAGGTGACAGGAGAACCTAGGGGACAACAATGAGGCAGGATGGGTGTCAGGAGGCTGTAGAGGAGGTTTCTCAGGGTGAGGACTACCTGCAACCTAGGTGATGTAGAACCCAGGTCGAGTGGGGTGTTCACCCCAGGCAGCTGAGCCAGCAAAGGAGGATGCTGGAGAGCTAGAAAGGGAAGCTACTGTGGCTGAACAGGAGACTAAGCAGCTGGGAGGAGTTGCACATAGATTAGTAGGAGGTGATGGAGCTGGGTACAGGAATTTAGGTGAGGAAGGCTCTGCTAAGTGCTGAGAGGTCAGTGTCCTGTGCCCAGATATATAAAGAAACACTAGCAAATACAGGGGCACATAAGAGAGCCTTGTGAAACATTCAAAGACCAGCTAACAGGACTGGAGAGATGACTCAGTAGTTAAGAACACTAGCTGGTCTTCCAGAGGTCCTGAGTTCAATATGGTCCCAGCAACCATATGATGGCTCACAACCATCTGTAATGAAATGGTGCCCTCTGGCCTTCGGAAATACATGCAGACAGAACACTGTATACATAATAAAAAAATCTTAAAAAAAAAAAAAAAAAAAGACCAGCTATGGGACCACAAGGCCATTTATCTTGCCTCCATGAGCTTCACTAAGCCTAAATTTTGATTTAAGAGTTATCCTTTCGTTTCTCGGGTTATTTTTTTCCAAACCAAAATTCATTCTAGGTGTTACAGCACATGCCTTACCCACAATCCCAGCGCTTGGGAGGCTGAAGCAGGAAAATTGCCACAGTTTGGGACTAGCCTGGACTATGTAGTGAATTGCACGCCAGCCTGTGCTACAGAATAAGACCCTATCTCAAAAAAAAAAAAAAAAAAGAAAATTGTGGTAGAATGTAATAGCAATAATGTTTTGGGGAAAATGTAAGCATGCTGGATAGTTTTATGTCAATGTGACATCTGAAAGGAGGGGACCTCAAATAAGAAAATGTCTCTGTGGGCTGGAAGGCTGGAGACCCCATGATAATGTACAAATTAAGATACTCGGAAGAGGATAAAATATAGGTTACATATTTTATTCTGGGAGAAGTCACTTACATGAGAACACAGTGAATGACCCACAAGTTCCCGCTCCAAAGATCCAAACCCAGACTGCTCTCTATGACCCGACCAGAACCAAGAGAGAGCAAGCCTGACCTGGACCCCAGACCAAATACCACATGCTCACCCCAAGTGGGCGTGGTCAGTGCCATAGGTGCAGCTGGGTAGCTCGCCCATTACAACCCTGGTTCAGTTCCCAGCACACACATAGCAGCTAACAGCTCACAACTATCTGTAACTCCAGTTCCAGGGAATCTGACACCCTCACACAGATATAATACATACAGGCAAAGCACCAATGTGCATGAAATAATCTTTTTTTTAAAAATGTCTCCATAAGATCAGGCTGTAGGCAAGATGGTAGGACATTTATTTATTATTTTGGGGGGAGGGTTGAGACAGGGTTTCTCTGTGAAGCTTTGGAGCCTATCCTGGAACTAGCTCAGTAGACTAGGCTGGCCTCTAACTCATAGAGACCCACCTGCTGCCTCTCAACTGCTGGGATTAAAGGTGTGTGCCACCACCGCCCAGCCTGTAGTGCATTTTCTAAATTAGTGATTGATGAGAAAGTAGCCAGCACGTTGTGGGTGGTGTCATCCCTGGGCTGGTGGTCTTAGGTTATATAAGAAAGCAGGCTGAGGGAAAGCCAGAGGGAGCAAGCCAGTAAGCAGCACCCATCCATGGTCTCTGCATCAGCTCCTGCCTCCTGGTCCATGTCCTGTGTGAGTTCCTGTCCTGACTTCCTTCAATGATGAACTATGATGTAGAAGTGTAAGCCGGACTTTCCTCCCCAACTTGCTTTGGGGTGCTTAATCATAGCAATTGTAACCCTAAGACACTAAGCAATACCAGCACAAAGACAAAGGGCGAATGTCACCAGAAATTCCCTCAAGAAATCACTGCTAAAAAAAAAAAAAGAAAGAAATCACTGCTAACTATTCTGGGAACTCTGTGGATGTTAAGAGATAGACACAAGGGTAGCTGTACACCCTAGGGCTGAGAGGAATGTGACCAGAGTGGGGTGCTGCCATGCTGGTTAGGAAGGAGAGCATGAGACCCAAGCCTCCTCACACTCAGGGGATTTGGCCCTGAACCACCAAGAAGCCAGCAGGAACCTGCTACAACATTGAATGGAGGAATACCCTGCTGAGCCTGGGGTCAAGTCCTGGTGTGCAATGTTGCCCTCTTCCCATAAAATGTTTATGCTGTGGGAGAAATATAAACACCAGGTGGCACTATAGACCTGCAGGGTCCCCCAGGCTTCAGCCAAACACCAAGGCATGCCCGGCTCCTAACTTTCAAGAACCCAGTGGATAAGAACCAAGCTCTTTTTCACCATTTTAGCGAAGCCCAACTTGTCCCAGGACACCAACCCCCACACCATGATGCAAACACTGGTCCCTAACTGGTCCATTACCTTGTTCACATATTCGGCAAGCTGCATCGCAATCTCCACTCCTCACTCATCACAAGACCAGCATCAGTAAAACCTCCCCAAAGCCTTTCTCATCTCTTCCCACCTAATCTGACCCCCCCTGCTGAGGGTGCACCCCCCCACTCCCACCAGGGCATCAACTGACTAACAAGGACTAGGGTTGCTTTGGGTATGGCCATTTAAACAAACACCCTCTGGGGCCACTGAGATACTCATCAGATAATGGTACTGCTACAAAGTTGGGCGTTTGTTGTTTTGTTATCTGGCTTTTTTGAGTCAGGGTTTTTCTGTAAACAGTCCTGGCTGTCCTGGAACTCACTTTGTAAACCAGGCTGGCCTTGAACTCAGAGCTCCACCTGCCTCTGCCTCCTGAGCACTGGGATTAAAGGTGTCCACCACCAATGCTACAGAATTCTTGCTGATAACCCTGACACCAGAGTACATCCCATAACCTGTAAAGATGGAGTGACAGTTCTAATTCCAAAGTTGTCCTCTGACCTCTATGTATGGGCCCTGTTACATGCACCCCCTTATGATAATATACAACAGTGAACATACATACATACACACATAAAAACAAAACCCCTCTGGGCTGGAATTCCTGTGGATTTTGATTGAGCGTGACAGACCTTGGTCAAGGCCTTCCTCTGTCTAGGCCTCCTGTTCATCTGTGGAAGACACTGACAGCTCTTGAGACCTGGCCTGAGCTGAGGGAGTGGCTTATTCACACCCTGCCTCCAGTATTACAAGGCTGCCCTTTGATCCATAGAGAAAACAATTTTGTCCCCACTGGTTAAAGTCCCAAAGGGATCCAAGACAACACAGCAACAGCCTCCATTGCAGTAAA